TTAGCACCAGATTTGACGAAATTTAGCACCAGAAAAAGCACAACTGGGAGCACAAAAAATAGCACCAGATTTGACGAAATCTAGCACAAGAAAAAACACAAGGGAAAGGCTAGAAACGCAAGCGTTGCCAGGACCCAGCCACCAGAGCCGTGCCCCGGTTCGGCGCCCCGGTCCCCAGGGCCCAGCCCCACGAAAGCCGTTACAGGGAAGGCCGAGCCCCGGTTCCGCGCGCCGGCTCGCAGGGTCCAGCCCCATGAAAGCAGTTAAAGGAAAAGCGGCCCGCGCAATTCCAGAGGACCCAGCCTCACGAAAGCATTTGAAGGAAGAACCCAGCCCCAATTCTCACAGGGCCCCCACGAAAACATTTAAAAGGAAAAAATGAGCCCACAGGACCAGCCCCACGAAAGCATTTAAAGGCAAACCGGCGTCCCAATTCCCACAGGACCCGGCTCACGAAAGCGCTCGCAGGAAAAGCAGCGCCCCCGTTTCCAATGGCCAGCCCCACAAAAGCATTTGAAAAGGAAAAGCTGTCGGCTTGCCCACAGGACCCAGCCCCACGAAAGCATTTAAAGGCAAAGCGGCGCCCCCGTCCCCACAGGACCCGGCCCCACGAAAGCATTTGCAGGGAATAGCGCCGCCCCGGATGCGCTCCAATTCCCACAGGACCCGGCGCCACGAAAGCATTTACAGGGAATAGCAGCACCCGGTTGCCCGGGCCGCCCCACGAAATCATTTTAAAAGAAAAACCGTCGTATTGCCCACACAACCCAGCCCCACGAAAGCATTTAAAGACAAAGCACGTCCCAATTCCCACAGGACCGAAACAACTACTACTATAGACTAACACCACTTGACCTATTTAATGCTACTTGAGGTATATCTTTTTTCACAACCTACTGATGTGTTGCTTGATGGAAGGGTTTTGTGACTTCCCATGGCTTCACCGGGCAGGAGGGCCCATAGATGAGAGTGAAAAAAGGAGTTCCTGTGGTGAGAGTGCCATCCAATTGGATCTAAAGGTTTTTTAAAGCATTTTTCTGGTGCTAATTTTTGTGCATCCAGTTGTGGTCTCTGTTACAGCGTCGCGGCCATGCACAACCTATACAGTTTAGCAAGGCTGGTTTGTGAGAGCATCTGAGGTCCATTTCCATTCTTCTCTTCCACCGGAAGTCTAGCAGCCTAGCAAAACATTTTACATATTAATCATTATTTTGCTGCAGATTTGGTCATGTTCAGTCAGTGCCTGAGTCCCAAACCAAAAGCAGCTACACATCTCCCAAACCCTGGTCACTGGGCCCCTAGACACCTGTGAAGCAGATGATACCTGCCAGTGCTTCTTGTTCCCTTCGGCAGGTCCCTTCATGACCTGCCGACCACCTCAACCCGACCGCAGGTTCGAGGCCACGAGTCGGCGAACCTGGATCCCTTGGGCCTCCATGCCTGGCGAAAGTGGGAGCAGAAGGCCCAGCGCCTCCGGTCGCGGTGGTTGACCTCCCCACGGATCCGCCGACTCGGCGAGCCGAGCGTCCGATCCGCGGAAGGGCCTTGAGGTTCTGGGCAGGTCTACATGCATTGACTCCAAAGGCTTTCGCCCCCTGGCGAAACGGTAGGCCGTGCACAGGATGAATGAAAGTCGTGATGGGAATATCGAGGAAGACAGTGTTCTCGAAGCAGAGACACCCTTTGTGCTTGATCGTCCCCTACAGGTCAAAGACCTCATTTGACTGGATCCGGTCATGCAAAGCCAGGTTAAACTTGGCCTTTGGACTTGTAGGGGTCCATCATTTTGCCAAGCGCGGCCAGGAGCCCCTAGTAGTCCTTGCTCCTAGTAGGTCTCGATTTTGCCCCGCAGCTGTGGCTCAGACGGCCTGGTGGAGCTTGGATATGTTTTGAACATCAGAGCTCAGAATACTTAAAGTTGCTTGGTGAAGATCCCTGGTGAAGACCCAGAACAACCAAATTGACCAGCTCGCGCTACTCTATTGTAGACTCTATAGATACAATAGAGTTCTTTCCTGTCAATCATGATCAATCACGTGTGCTGGGCCATTGCCTCTCTTATGCACTGCGCTTAGTAGCAGGCCGAAACGTTTGTAGGCCGCATGGCAGGTTCGAAACTCTTCATTCTGCATGTTGGACAAACAAACTCAAGACATCTCAATATCTGAGGACATTCCAAGTCTGGTGGTTTTGGGGCACCCTGAATCACCTCAGGCAGAGGCTATTTATAGACACCCCTTGGAGGGTCCTGGTCGTTGCCTTGTCTTCTGCCCACGCAGCATGGCTGCCATGGACTGGGATGGCTGGGCGCATTTGGAGTCGCTGGGCACCATTTGGACATGCACAGGAAGTGCCAGTGGAAGTGCCCTGACCCAGTCCAAAGAGACAGTACAAACCCGGTGGTGCCCTACCTCCTGGAGTAGATTTGAGTAGTGTTATATCGTTGTATGAGATTGTATGAGTTATACTCCAGTACCATGACGTCAGTTCCTGACCTCTCAAATATGACAAAACTGAATGTCTTGCCGACGTCCCAAAAGGAAGCACGTTTTCCCACTAATAATGGTCCAGGATGGAACAGTTTGCCAAATACCATATAACCCTACAAGTCCAAAGGCCAAGTTTAACCTGGTCCTTGACTTCATTGAGTACTGGCTTTGCATGACCGGATCCAGTCAAATGAGGTCTTTGACCTGTAGGGTAATGTGTGCTTCCCCCCAAGATCGAGTTTCAGCTCCGAGGTGCTCCGGTGTGGTGGACGTCCACCACACCCGATCGGACCGTCGCACGTGCGCGCAGGTTGGTGCGACAAGTGGCACGTGCAGATGTGGACTTGAGCCGCCGCAGCAAAGGTCGATTGGAGCAGAGGCTGGTGATGGCTGGGGGTGGCAGTCGTGTGGGACGGTCGGAATGAGTTGAGCTCTGAGAGGTGAGGTACTTGTAGGGTGAGGGTGGAAGTGGAGCATGGGAGCAGGGGAGGCAGCAGGGGGGGGGGTCCTGGTGTCGACTTCTTTTTCACAGGGCCAGCCGCTTCGATGCGCAGATTATTTAGCTTAATACATGTATTTTGATGAATTTTTGATGTAGTCTGAGGAGTAGTCTAAGGAGTAGTCTGAGGCGGAAGGGGGCCAGATACAGTGCCAGATACTTGGCTAGCGGTCGAGTTCAATTTCAGAATCATCAGGGTTTGCAATGATCGCAGTGAAAGAGTCAACAGTGTCAGTGTTTGAGAGTGCCACCTTCCGGTGTTCCAGGACATTTTATGACTGGAAGGAGCTAAGCAGTCGGGGGGGGTTGATATTCCCCACTCAACAGGGAACCAAAAAGCTACAGGGGGTTCCCCAACCCCTTGCTAGATGAGCAGCTACTGAATATCCTCAGGCTGCATCATACAACAGAAACATCCTCAGGTCTTTTTGGGATTCCGCTTCTCATGTGCACGACAGGATTCCGCCGGAGCTTTCCATCCCTGTGCTAGCAGCTGTGGCCTTGTATGCTCGTGAGGCCAAGGCGCCTTAATTGGAAGGTTGGGGCAAAATAGACGGCAGGGGCTCCTGGCCTTACGATCGGAGCAATGTTCGCTACGATCGGGGCTGGCATCGCTACGAGTCCAGAGCGTTCGGACGCGAACCGAACGGGGGCGTCACTCTGAGCAACATTGGAGCAGAGATGGGGCGTCCAAACAGAGTGGAACTTGAGCCCCAACTCACCGGGGTTGCCGCACCTTAGTCGACCTTCGTCAGTTTCTGCTTGAAACAAGTCAATGCAGCCCTACCTGCAGCTCCACACAGCTCCTGCTGTGTTTTTTCTCCTTTTTCTCGTTCTCGTTCTCCGCGCCTCGCGCCGTCATCCAGGCTCCAAAGGAGGAGGAGCTTCCGGCGGCGGCCGGGTCTTGGGTGTTGGACGATCGATCGGGTTTTTTGGATCGAGTGCCTGCAAAGCACCGACCCGGGTGAACGGTGGGCATCCCAGCAGTATTTATAGTAATTAATCCCTATATATACAAGTCAATGACCTCATGTTACTGAAGTTGGTCATACAAAAACACTACTCAAGGAGGTAAAGGACCAGGTTTTACTGGGTCTTTGGACTTGTAGTAATTATGAGTGTTGAGATGTGTTGAGTCTTTCGCGAAGCCCCAGCACATGGCCAAATGTTTGGACAAACTATGACAAACTCCTTCACCAGCAGGCGCTGCAAACGGCAAAATCAAAAAATCTGGGACCCACTTACGGCGTGTTGGGGGATTGCATTTTGCTCCCTCTATACACGCCATTCATCTGGCGACCGGCCCATGTGACCCGATGAGACTCCCAGACCACGACCTGGCCATGGGACGGACTGCCGAGAGTTCCGGCCGTGGCCAGGGGTGGTGGTGGTGCCAGGGGGGTCTGTCTGGGGCGGCAGTCCGGAGTGTTTGGGTGAGGTTTGGTCCAATCCAAAAGCCCTAGCTGTATTTAGTGGTGAGGATCAAAAGCCCCCACCGAACTGTTCGTGTCCAATATGGGTTTTTGGGACCTTTGGGACATGGCAGGTTGTGCCAGTGGCATGTAAGGAGATGGCTGTCCAGGCGGGATTGTCCGGAGCCGTGAAGGGAGCTGCCTGCAGATTCAATTTCAATCGATCCATGGGATCGTTTTGCAGCAGGGTAATGGCAGTGGTAATGGCCACCCTCATCAAAACGGAACAAGAAGCCTTGCACTTGCACCATCTTTCCTGGTTTTGTGGATCAGGTAGATGGTGTATTCTCCATGATGTTCCTGGATGTTCCTGGTTCCTTTGTGAATCCTAAAATTGGGGAAGATATTCCGAAGCGAATCCAAGCTGAGATACTCGAGCACTCCATTTGAGATACACCATCATAGGAGCTTCGACCGATGGTGTTTGCTCTGAAATTCGGCCCATCTCGCGGTGTTCTCGGGGACAGGGAGGCCCATGGGTTCACCAAAACCGGATCAAGAACATGATTGACCTTTTAGATATCCCAGGATGAGGTCGCGAACAGGCCCGTAAAGGGCCACAAACAGAGACTCCACACTTTGAAGGTCCTGGCGTGGAAGATTTGGCGTGGCTCAGACCGTCGACCTTTCAACCGAACAAACCAGCCAAAGCTCGACCTGTTGGCATGGAAGATCAACTCGGAATGGATCGCAGATGGCATGGCCTGTTAGATGACCATGACCATGTGCAATCCGAATGCCAAACCGGTGGTGAACTTCACTTCTTTACTTCCATGATTTCAAGGAGTGTAGGTATCCCAGACGCGACTCATGCAACTGGCATAGGACTGCCGATTGATTGGGGTGGTGCCAGGGGGGTCAATGGGTCGGCAGTCCTGGCAGGCAGTCCCATTAGTCGTGTATGGGTATGATTCTTGTTGGGTGCTTTGAAGGCACCTCTTGTCACCCTGGAAAGGCGTATGAACACTTTTTTTGGTGCGAAGGCCGTATTTGGACTGAATTTATCGTATGGACATGTTAATTAACGAATTAGCGTATTTAGCCGTATGGACCAAAAAACAATACCGTACAAAAGCGCACCCATATGAAACCCAAACATTTTATCGACAAAAACCCAAACAATTATATTGATAAAACCCAATCAAACCCAATATTTGGAGGAATTCCAGAAAATTTGTCCATTTGACGAAAAAGGCCGGATGCACGGATTTTTTGTGCGAACGTGTTTGAACAACAAAAACTGCACATTTGGATTCCCTGGACCTCACATATCTCAGATTTGGTTGCGGGTGACGGGTGGACCTTGGTCGTGGTCGGTTGACATGTTGACATGGACCGGCTAGATCCTCCAACAGGCGCGCCCCTCCTGGCGACCAGAGGTGCCCAGGTCCACCACCTGTTAGGGTCCTAAAACAGCTTTGGAGGGTCGGGTGCTGGGACTTGGACTTAGCAGCTAGCAGCTAGTCCACACGCTTGCTTGCTGACCTGTCACTCTCTAGCCAATCTCATGGAAAGGGTGATGGAGAGAGAGACAGAGAGAAAGAGAGAGAGAGAGAGACAAAGAGAGAGAGAGAGAGAGGGAGGGAGGGGGAGGGAGGGAGAGATACCGCCGGCACTCCATGTATGTGATATTTATATGCCACCTACATTTGGATGATTTCAGGAGTGCGGTGAATGTAAGTACAAAGTCCAGTCATGTCCAGTCCCTAATTCATGGTCTGGGAGTCTGGGAGAGGCACAGAGGCACTGACACCTAGCAGGAGTTGTTTGATATTGTGTGACTGCATTTGCATGCTCTAGTGCACGGTTGAAATGGTGCCAAGTCCGCTGCGGAGACCCTGTGTCCGATGCGCATGGCCCAAGTTACCTGTGCTGAGTGCGCCTCTCGAGCTGGCTGTTGGGCTGTTGGCTGTAAAGACCACAGGTTCTTTCTCTAAGCAGCCCCCCATGCCTCTCATGGGTCAAGTATATGTGGGGATGAGTCCTTCAACATCAGGAGGGGCTCGTGCCCGGTTGGTATCCTGGTGCCACGACCCACAGCCATGTAACATTGTGTGCATTGTTGCATGGTCAATCCATGCTTGATCCATTCCATCGTGTCAGCATGACTTGCTATGACTTCCCAGGCAGATGCCGAAGAAGTTTCTCCAGAGATGCCGGCTCCCAGGCAGGTCTTGGAGAGAGATGATTGGCGTTTTTGGACGAGAGATCGCTTCAAAACGAAGGAGCACAGCCTCCCGAATCTTCTTGCTGTCCTGGTTGAGTTACATGTATGTCGATGTATGTCAATGTGTTTGGCAAGCATGGAACTTTAGAATGGTGTCCGGAACTCGGTTAGCAAATCCACTGACGTCACTAGGATTCATGGTACTTCACCACCAGGATGGAACCGATGCGTGGAAGACACTGAGGAAAAAGAAGTCAGGGACGTCCTGTTTGACTTCTGTGAATTCCAAACTCTATATTTGGGACTGCCATCTTTGAGAGCGGCTTGGGGGGTCCTATGGGTTGGCATTGTAATGTTCCAGTCACATGAGTCTTTGGGAAAGAAGTTCCCCTCATATGCAGTCCCAGGAGCTCAGAAGGCAGCCTGGATGTCGAGAAAGGCGTCGATCAGGACGAGGATGAGGCACTGGGTGGGTGGGTTGTAGCGATAGAAGACGAAGGCAGCTGTTGGAGGAGGCTCGTCTTGGAAAAGAAACCACCTTTAAAGCCTCAAGACGGGGTGTTTTACAAGCCCTAGGGCTCCAACCATCTCCTCAGAAGGTGGTTAGACCCCCAAAACCCACCCCAACCACCTTCTCAGGAGGTAGTTGGAGCCCTAACAATGCATCACTTCCTTCGAACCCCCGGAGTTGAACACCTGGCCGTGATGAGGACGGTTCTCCGATGCCGGTGGCCGAGCACCGCTTCCTGGCCGTAGAGCCCAGCGAGCTCCCCACACCCGAGGCGGAGTTCGGCGCTTGAAACGAGGGAGAGGGACTGGCTGGACCTGGATCTTCCCAGTGACCCAACTTGATCCCCAGGGATCAAGTAAAACGTCACAATAGACTCCCAAGTTCGGTCACTGGGAAGGTCCGAGTGGAGAGTGGAGGATCCTTAGTAGTGGTTCTCCAAATTGATCACCGTGGCACACGGTTTCTAGATGTTCTACCTGGGGATCTGCGAACTTCTATCTATTTAGGGGTCTATAGCTGAAAGGGGAGGCATCGAGAGGGCAGATAGAAAGATCAACATGTGTGTCATCCTGGACCCTCCAAAGTACCTTAGAAAATGGGACATGACATGAACCCCATAAATAAATTTAAAAAAAAACGGTACTTGTACCGATTTTCCGAGGTACTTTGAGACTCCAGGATGTTTATGTCAATTTCTATCATACCCATAGACTCCATGGGACTAACTACCGAGAGTTCCGGCCAGGGGTGGTGGGCTTGGGGGGTCGGCCGTACTGGGTGTCGGCCGTCCTGGGTGTCGGCAGTCCCAAACAGGTCGTGTTTGGGATATGTTACGTTGGGTTTTTCGGACGTGCCATGGCGGCCGTGGCCTTGGGCGAGACGGTTTTGTCACTGTTCGTTCAGGAGGGTCTGGTGGTGTGGAACATTGGCTTCATGATTTCAATGTGGGCTTCCAACAATTCACCAGAAAGACTGGTTCCAAGCTTAGCCCGAAGGATCACGCAGGGCAGTTGCTGGCAGGATGGCCTGGCAGTTCAGAAGGTTTTGGCCCAAAAAGTCGATCGCACAAAGCTTGGCCACTTCAGAGATTCCTTTATACCCTACACCGACTTCGTCGTCCCACCGAACCGAAACGGTTCGGTACGAAAACGGAGGCCGAACGGGAATGCGAAGTCAAGCACTTTTCAGGGTCCACCCTTGGCCGGACATGCGCGCGTTGTTCGGAGGCCTTGAAGATGGCAGAACTCAGAGAACTCTTCGACGCTGAGATCGGGAAGGTGTATCTCCCCAAACGAATGAAGCGAAGGAAGTCTTCCAGCAGCTTTTGCCTCCGGATGTCGGACTATAGCGGCTATAGCGGATATGGTACAGCTCGTTTTTAAGTGATAGCAGAGTCTCAGAAGGTGTTTATAGGAGCAAATGGCCCGGTCCCATTGAGAATACCCTCATGAAGCCCTGCACGTGTTTGACCTACTACAACAAATTGAGCTGTTTCGACGAAATTAAGTTGTGATGGCCGCAGGCCCTTTGTTTATCATCCCTGAGGAGAACCTCAACTTGGCTGATCTAAACCGTTCGATTCTGGTTTTTGTTGGCACCTCGCAGGGTGCACCCCTCCATTTCGGTCACCGCTTCATCCCCGGCATGTTTGGAAGGTGTTGCTTGGTGTTTCTTCGCTCTCTGGTCACCAAGGAAGAGGCCTCGAACTTGTATGAGTGGACGCCAGCGAAGGAAGAGGCGACAGAAGAGGTCTTGGTGTTGAAAGAAATTCCTTGGACCACTGCAGTTTGACCAACAGAGGTTGTTTGTGACCTGAACTAGGACCCCTAACCTCGGGTACCCAACTGGGATAGTCGAACTAGGGTTCTTCAACCACTGCAGTAAAACTCCAAAGCGAGCCTGTCCATGATCCCAAGACCTGGCCTTTGTCCCGAAACACCCGGACCCCAAAAAGGTGCACGCGGCCGGCAGGCCTCCCTAACTTGAGCCACACGACCATATCAGCTACAACAAGAAGCTACTAGGGGCTCCTGGCATCGCTAGTTACTAGGAGCAAGGACGCTACTAGCGCTCCTGGCCATACTACTAGGAGCAAGAAGCTACTAGCTAGTAACCGGGGCATCGCTACGAATGGGGGTTCTCCCGCCTCGGCAATGGGCGCCTCATGAGCGTCACTGCCTCATGAGCGGGGCATCAGTGCGGCCCGTGCCCTGATGCTTTTATGACGTTTGGCAAGTGCACGTGGAGGAACACATACCTTCAGACAAGGGTATCTCTGTTCAATCGAATGTAATTAGCGACCTGCAAGAGGGATGCAGATATAATTTGGCGTAGCTACCGGGTGAGTGCCAGGTGGCGCATCTTTTGTTGCTTCTCACATGTATGTGAGCACCAGGAAGCTGTGAAGAGCCAGCTGCTGTCAGTTTCCTGGCCAGCACGACCAGTGGTGTTTGGACACGACAGGTCATGTTTTGGGGTTTGTGTGGAGCTGTTCAAACATATGAGACATTGTTCCCCAATTTCTCCAGCGCCTCTCATTGGATCCACAATGATCCACTGTATCCGAGGGGCCAATGTCTTTTCAGAAAAATGTGGGCAATGGAAGTGGAAACAGACAGCCCCTGAAAGACCATTTCCCTTTCGATTCTGTGGCCTGAGGGCCGAAAACAGGGGTGGGACTGGGCATGGGACTGGTGAACGGGCTGGGGTTACATTGAATGACTGGCCATCCAGAGCATGTCTCGAGCGGGTACTTGTGCGCTCACACATACGCACGACACATGTGCGCCATGTTACATCAGATGTTTGGCCCGATGCGGGTTGACCACAAGAAAGTTACTGCATGTGTATGGTCGGCGAGGAGAGCTTTAGGGATCTACATTTACATGAAAATTGGTGGTGAAACCCTGCCAATCCTTTTTAACTAGCACTTAAAAGGGAGCGCCCCACAAATGTCAGATCATTCCACGCCTGAGTGCGTCAAACATCATGCACGGACCACCATGAACACACAAACCCTTTTCCCAATGGAGAGATTCAGTTCATCCCTTTTCATGTTGGACTCCTCTTCGTGTTGGGCGATCCCTTTGCATTTGAGTTCATGGTGGACCTGCCCCTTCTCCTCCCCTCCAGGGCGTGAAGGACGTCACCTCCCCACCGTCGCGCCAGTCGCGCGCGTGCGGACGCGCGACGTGCCGACGCGCGGCTCGAGGATGTGCAGCGGCTGCTCGAGACGTTGGAGGACGCGGCGGCTGGACATGGAAACTTGGGGTTCCCAGGACGTGACTGGAGAAGTTGGAAGCAACGTGGAGTACTATCGAATACCCTACAGGTCCAGTCTGACCCCGGTCGACCACTGGTCCCGGTCGGTCGGTGACGTACTCGTGGAATTGGTTCCATGAACAACGGCAATTGAGGTCGTGGACCTGTTGGGGAGTCTTCCTGTTGGGTGGGAGCCAAAACCAAAAACAGGAAGTGCATGGAAGTGCTCATTGTCCAATACAGAGATTCCTTTCCTTCATTGCTGCGTTTGTTGGCATAGCTTCAGTGAAAAAGCGCTGGAGGCAGACGACTGACCTAGTGATTCTTTCCGTACTAAACCCAAAGCCTTGTATATGCACTGACCGGCAATATGCAAAGATCCAGCAGGCTTGTGGTGATTTCAATCTGGTTGGGGGTCCCTTAACCTCCCGCCCCCAAGGGCGCTGGAATACTCAGGTGATTCATTCCAGGATGTGCCTTTGAGACAATTTGCTATCAATGTAACTTCTTGGGGGTAGTTGTGTAATACTCTTTGTGGCCGGAAAGGCTAGAAGATTCATTCAACAGTCAACACTTAGTGGCGGCTCCTAGATTAATGATGAGCAGAAGCTGCGTGCACCTGGCGCTTGCAACCAGCGCTTCCAAGCGCCCTACTCATCCGATGCACATCTAGGTCTTACAGACCGTCGTGGCGGATGCGGCGACCAACTTGGCCCGCCTCAATGAGCAGAAGCAGCGTGCAGACGCCTCGGAGCATTTGAGAGGCACAATGGACAGAAGTGCAGCGCCGCACTAGGATGTCCAAGGCAATTGGCAGTGTCCCATAATGTAGATAGGTATAGATAGATACATATGTTTGTATATTGTATATTTATTATATATACCTGGATCCTCCTTTGGGCGGAAAAAAGTGCCGGACCTCAATCCGGCAAAATTTTCCGCCGGATTCCGAAAAAAACGCCGGAGACCTGAAAAAACATCCGGATCCAAGATTCTGAAAAACAGAGATGATAAAAGGCTGGATCATACACAAGCAAACTGCCTTTGCGCCACGAGTAGTTTTTTCTGGAACACACTCATTCCACAACCCAGCACTGGAGCCTTCCCGTTCCCATTGCCCTCGCCCATCTTCCGAATGGCCTAAGAGCAGAACCATCACAAAATATAAGCAAACTTGTGCCCAAGCAAAGACGTCCAAGAAGAAACCAAGGAGTATGTGGCAAGGAACCCCTATTTCTCTGCACCCGTGTCTCTAATTGTTTTTTACAAAGTGGCTCTCCATGATTCTTATATGGTTTTAAATTGTATTAAAGCTTGCCTCAGGACGGCCCCGCCAATAAAGTAGCAGCACTCATGGTTCCTGTCGAAACTCTTAGTTGAAAAACTTTTCAAAATTCAAAAGACTGAGTCCAAAAAAATACACCGGAGTTACGGGAAATTACGCCGGAGTTACGGGAAATTACGCCGGAGTTACGGGAAAAAACGCCGGAGTTACGACGTGCAATTTTTCTTAGCAACTCTCTGCAAAACATTGAGACTCTGAACAACACATGTTCCACAGCCCAAAACTTGTCCGGCAGGCTCTGCAAACCTGCGCAACTAGAACTAATTATATCCCAGCGCCCCGACATCCTGAAACAGTCAGAGTCCATCTTTGTCTATGTTCTTTCAGCTTAGGTACACCCACTTGGGTCTTTCAACACGTGCATCGCACTGTACCAATTTCATCCGATTTCACTTAGAAGATCACCTAAACGGATCTGATTGATCCAGGGTGAACCATGCTGAAACCGGTGGAATGAGAACACAGCGGAACAGGCAAACGATCACACTTTGCAAGCAAATCATTACCTTCAAAGAAATGCAAGCCACAAAGAATGCAAAGCCTTAATCCACATTTCAAGTGACTTGGAAAAACTGCCGGACCAAATCCAGAAAAACGCCGGAGTTGGAAGTCCGGCGCCGGACCCTGTAAAAGTGCCGGACTGAAGATCTAGGTATATATATATATATTATACTTATGAAAATCAGAACATGCCAGAAACTCATAAGATCTCAAGGCACACGGCGGCAACGTCGGCCAGTTGACACCTGAAAAAGCTAGCACCTCTAGTTGGCTGTTGGCCAGGCGACCTTGGGGACAGTGACATTACGGTGAAAGACTTCATCGAGAAATGCCATCAATTCGAAGATGAGCTTTGCAAGAAGTATGGGGTGCGAAAAAAAGAGAGAAACAGCGGCCGTGTCTTGTGGGTTGGGCATGCGTGCCAAGCGTAGATGGGCAATGACGGCATAAAGTTTGGCAAATTGGTGGATCCATGTGTGGTAGATGTTTTTCAGTTGACGAATTCGCGTGGTGCAGTTCTTGCGTGTTTTGTTGTTTCTCCTACCCCCTACCCTTCCCTATACCCCTCTCTCGGGAGTGTTTCGTTTTCTTGACGCGTAAGATATAGAAAAGGACACTCCCCAGACGCTCCAAACAGCTCTTGGTACCTCAAAACCCTAGGGATTTGAGACCCCAGACCCCTCCATATGAGGGTCCGACCCCTCCATATGAGGGCCCATGAGCGTCTGGGTCAAACATGTCTCAGACCGCTCTCACATCAGACAGCGCCAGGGCCTGTCGGAGAGCGTCCCTGAGTTGGACCCGAGTTGCTTGGTGCAGCGCCCGAAGTAGGGTGGGCAGCGAGGAGGTGGAGCAAGACAAGTCATCCAGCAGTAACAAGATGGGGTGGTGTTTAGTCCCCAAGTGAGTGGATAATGAGCACCCCTAACCTCCATGGATAGCACCCCTTTTTGCCTGCTGGATGTAGAAAGTTCACGTGCTTGGTGGGGGTGATGGGTCTTTTTGGGAGGGAGGGGAGGACATTGAATCTGACGAGGTCGGAGGGAAGGTGACAGGACGGCAGCTGTTGTGGATGGTATTCTTGGAGTGGACACGCTCCTTTTTCCAGTGGTGTGACGAACATCGGCTGTGAGTCAAAATCATAGTAGGTGGACCTCCTTTGTAGAGGAATCTGTTCATGTTAGGGGGTCAATGAGGGTGCCAGGGTTTTGACCGCCATATGTCGTGCTAGCTGGTGCTTAAGGCTTAGGAGGGGGCAAGTTTAGAGCCAGAGCCAGAGCTGTCCAACGATGTTTCAAGGGTTTCGGCGCGTTGCTCCATCCGTTTGGAAGCGTTCCTACGGCCAACACCAGGAAAAGTGGATAACCTTGAACCTTATTTTGGGGATGCATTTCATCACTAAATATGCAGGTGGAAAGTACGGCTACATATGGCTACATGACTTATACAACCTTTACTTTACAGTGTAAACTGAGGGAGTCAGCCATCTTCAAAGTTGTCAACCTGTTCTCTCTCGATGTCGTCGTAACCGGAGGCTTCCACGGCTTTAGCGAAGCGGACTTGGGCAAGGCCTTTCAGGCCTCTCGGATAGGCATGTCTGATGCCCAACCCACCGCAAATATCGATCAGAATGTTTGGTGGTCGTTCTAGATGATGAAGTGTTCTTGCTGCACACCACAGCCAGTCAGCAAATGACATCACATGCAGCAGGACTTGGACATTTAGTTGTATAATTAGGTTGTGGCCCACAAAAGCACCGCTCTTTTTCTCCAGTGTTTGGTACTGTACTTCTTGGTGCCCCGACCTTCCCAACCAACGAGTTCGAGCGCTCAACCAAGTCGATCGAAGACGCTCAAAGGCTCTTGAATCACCTTCTGACTCACTGGGAGGTGCACCATGAAAAGCCCAGCCGGGCTGTGTCCTGCACCTAATATATATATATATACTACAGCCTATACAATAAAATATGCTCTTTACCCCCGCTAGGATTGCAAGCACCATCATATATTGCAAGCACCATTGATTATTTGATATTATTTGATGGTTCGCACAGGATCATTGTTTCACTGCGGGCTTACACCCCCACCCCCCGAAATAATCATTTAAGTGGAAGCAGGCCACCCCTGGAATGCAGCTTTTTCCTTTACAAAGAGATGGTGAACTCCACTTCCATGTTGGTGACTCAGAGTATATCTTTCAAGACCACCACTTTCTACAGATTCTACGGCCTAATGAAGGCCTAAGAAATTAAGAAACTGTAGGGCACCTAGCCCACCGTCCTCCACAACACCCTTAGCCAGGTGCCCTAGTTCTTTGGCGCCCGCATCACGCGCGCGTCAACGAGGTGAGCTTGGCGGGGCTCAACGGAGAACACACGCTGCAAGAGGTGGTGGACACCCTGAAACGGACGCCACCGGGGCCAAAGGCTTCAGAGAGGGCGAAGACTTCGGAGAGGGAGAAGGCTCATGAGGAAAGGGATCATTTCAGAGGTGGACCAGGAGATGTTCGATGCGGAGGAAGGTCGAACCGAAGCTCTTCGTGTTTGCACGTCTTCCACGGTCTTCGTGTTGGACCGGTCAGCGACCAAATCGTTAATAAAGTCAGACCCGAGGGCTCCTGGCCCATCTCCGTTTCGAAGATAGTTGGGGTGGATGCCGGGGGTGGTTAGAACCTGAGGATATGGTTTGTCGTGTGTCCGATTTGCACGCTCGGCACGGGATCCGATCGAGATGTGATTCCACCGTTGGATGTGCCTGTGGATCGGGTCGTCGGGTCATCGGGTCGTCGATCATTTCGCCGTGGCAGATGGCAGATGGGGTCCAATGCTCGGAGTTGGGAGTTGGTTACAGGTGAGGCCTGGTACACAGCCTAGAATGGTCCACAGTGCGCAGGGCCCACTTCGAAGGCCTAAGCATATACCCAGACGCTCCAAACAGCTCTTGGTACCTCAAAACCCTAGGGATTTGAGACCCCAGACCCCTCCATATGAGGGTCCGACCCCTCCATATGAGGGCCCATGAGCGTCTGGGTAAGCCATATAGAATGGGCTTTCCACACCGTCTCCATTGTCCACCCCATGGGCCGACCACCTGAGGTACTCAGGCTCCGTTGGCATCGAGCTGCTTGGTCCCAGGTATGGTTGATACAACGGACATATATATTCATACAATGAAGTGAATGGAACATGATGGAACTTTTGGGAAAGGAGTCTTCCAAGAGACCACGCCATCCACTTCCTGCGACCAGTGTTCCAAGGGGATCTTCGGACGAACACATCCACGAACACATCCACTTCCAGTGTTCCAATGAAAGGAACCCGCAAAATCGCTTGGGGTGAGTGGTTGACGGGGTGAAATGGGCTAGTCCCAGGGAAGTCAACGAATCGAGCGAGCTTGGTCGCTGTTGAGACCTCGCTGTGATGCCGGTGCTCAACATGTCTGTAGGTCAAAAGCTTCTGGGCACCCTGGTGGACCCAAACATGAACCGATTCCTACTTTCCCTAGGTATCCAGTCCTTCTCAGCTTCGGTACGACTGGACCCTCCTGGCACCTACATAATGTAGACTCCTGATTAATACACCCCCCATATGAAGAGGTTGTTCAATTCAAATGGGGTGGTGGGTTTATGAATCAAGAGTCTACATTATAGCAGTGTTTGCAATCACTCTTCTAAGAATCTACTTGGATCCCTAAGGTTTCAGGGCTGCCAACCGGAACCCGGTTTTCGTGGAGAAGGTGCCATGCCTCACAGTAATATGATTTTTGTATACCTCGTTGTGGTGCGCATCATCTAGCCAATTAAGAGTACTGCTCGTGAGGTTGATACTATGGGTGAGAACACGTGAGAACGATTTATAGAGAAGGCCAAGCATGAATCGATTTCCACACATGTCCCTTCAAGCAACACTCTTGGAGTGAGTATTGTCATCATTGCTATTGAATAACCTGTCGGGGGTTCTGTGGTGACAGCTGTAGACTCTTGATGAATAACCTCTTTTTTTTGAAATCCTCTTCATATGAAAGCTTTATCCCTAGGGATCCAAGTACCTTCACAGAAGGCACTTGGACCCTCCAAACCCACCCCAAACACCTTCTGAGAAGGTACTTGGATCCCTAGGGTATTAATCAAGAGTCTTAATGAGCGGACAAAGACCATGACGAGGACATCACCCAGGCCAGCCGTGGGCGAGACGAAACGATCTCCTCGAAAAACCCCGATGCCGACCTCGGCCTAGCTGATTGCTTAAGGTATATGCACATCGGTGACTTGCAGAAGATCGAATGGGTGAGACAAAGAGTTCCTTGGATTCCTTGGATTCGTCTGATTCAGGAGACCTTGAGATATGCCTTTGGAACCCCCCAAAACATATGGGTTGACCTGCCGAAAATGAGCAAAATAGATTACTGGTTTTGGTCGACCTACCAGGGTGAAACGGGCGAAACGGGTGCCAAGACCCACAGGCAAGGCAGGGCTTGATGGCTGTAAATATGGCCTTGGTTCATCTTGCTTCCTTGGTTGGTTGATTCATGGATTTTCCCCCTTTCTACGGCTTGGTTGGTGAACAGCCAACCAGGTACATGAAGCCACTCAATGTTTCCCAAAGGGGCATCATTGGTTGCAAGGGTAGCTGATTAGACAGGTCACTGCATTTATCATCATGTATCCAGTCTTTTTTGGGGGGATCAAAGGGTGACAACTGTGAGATGGGATGATGATAGGACAGATGGGGACCAAGGACTGCATGCAGCAAGAATTGATCGAAACCTGTACGAAAGTGCAAAATTGGTTGCTGAGACATGTTGGAGACCAGCTTCCCGGAAAGTGCAAAATTGGTTGCTGAGACATGTTGGAGACCAGCTTCCCGGAAAGTGCAAAATTGGTTGCTGAGACATGTTGGAGACCAGCTTCCCAAGTAAAGCTCTATGAAGTTAAACTTATAGGGTTCGACGGCCCTGGAGGGCTGTTGTTCTTTGAAGCCCGCTGAAATTTGCCGCGTTCGCAGCCCTCCTTGGGCCAGTTCTCAGGTGGAGGATCCCAATTTCATCCCATCGGATAAGAACAAACTCCTGAAGGCGGGGACTTGGCTCAAGTGGACCAAGTGGGTCGACTGAAAGCACCAACTTGGGGGGCTCCAAGAGATGGTATGATATGGTCCACCCACTAAAGACTATAGATCATGTGTTTCCTTTCGAAGATGCAGGTATGTGAAATGATGTGAAGCTCGACTTTTGCCTTGGAGAGACACATGGGCCAGTGTTCAAAATGAACCCAGGAGTTGCACAAACATAACCAGGGCGGTTTTCTCCGGTGCACACCTGTGTGGGTGCTTGGGGAAGGAAGTTAGCAAATCTTGGGACTCAGATGCAGTTCAGCTTGCGATCTTTGGCCGCGTCGATGCTGATTGTACTCAGCTAAAGAGGCATGTGCCAGTGCAGGAAAATTGCACTCCACCAAACCAAGCAGTGAGCGCAAAAAGCACCGAGTAGAACTTATATAAACAAGTTCCAGTTTGTTCTGCACGTTCCACCAATCTTTTGTTGGTGGTTGGTGGCATTCTTTGCATTCTCCCTGCATCCGGGCGATGAATCGCTCTCCATTCTCTCCTGACCTCACCACAGGTCTACCAGGAGCTCTTGAAGGTTGAACCTTTGATGAACCAGTCCCGCTCGGTGGGATGGCGCGACGGGCGCCACGCGAAACTGGGCTCGATCCCAGGCACCTCCCCCACCAAAGCACGGGCGCAGTGGACCTCCAGTATTATATCTTATCACCCATTCGGCCTCGTTTCGTCGTACCGAACCGCTTCGGTTCGGGTGCCATGGGAGGTAGGTCCAGTCATACCGAAGCGGTTTGGAGGTACGAAGTCGATTGCTCCTCATACCGGATCGACCGATGAACCGCATCCGAGTCGTACCGGAGAAACCATCCACGCTCCTCCGCCGAGAAAAAGGGAGTGTAGATCTCTTGATTTCTATATCCCTAAGCTTCTTTGGGATGTCGATGAGAGGGGTCGGGGCCCTCGGCTTCCTGAGGGAGGGCCCGCGGACATCATGGATTTTACATCGAGGGGTCGCGAGGGCCCGCGAGGGCCCATGAGGGCCCAAGCTTCAAGGCCTGTGTTTCACTGATGGTTACATCACACATGTTCAGACCCACATGGATCCAGCAATTGCACACACCATGCAAAACCAGTGGCTTTCTGGCCTTTTTGTTCCCATCTTGCATGAGACCATAGATAGATATGATAGGACATGATAGGACCAAATCACCATGCAATATCCCATTGAGGGTTTACACATGTTTAGACCTTCCCATTGTTTTCCTTTATCCAGCCCGGCTGGTCAGCATCATCTTTTCTCATGAGCGTGATGGCACTGGTACTGCACTGGTCTTTCCAATGCCTCGCGGACATTGGAAGCGAGGACAGTGGGTCAATATGGGTCGATGCAGGGTTCAGGGACGGCCTCGTGTATCATGAGTCTTTGTTTGCAAGGATTCTACATATCATATCATGCATGCATGCAATATAGATTCGTCTATTCACATACTACTGGAAAGGGCTCAAGCATAGGGTGGCAATGGCGGGATCTCTGGCTCCATCACTGCATGGCGTTGAAAGGGAGATTGAACGATACTCATGTTTGATCCAACCGTTTTTGTTTTCTTTAATGGATGTGTGTTTGTGGCATGTATACGTCCTTTTTCACCCATGGGATGGTAAGGAGCACTGAAGATTCATATGCCTGTCGAATGTTTCGTGAACTGTGCGCAAGCAAAACGTCCGGACAACACCTTGTTCCCGGACGTGAGCTCTTTTGACATCAACATCGACGATTTGGAAACATATTTGCCGTTGGTGCTAGAGATATTTTCTATCAGTCCGGAGGGTTGCCTGTATGCAATATGTTATATATGCGCATTGCATTAAAGTAAAGCTTTTCCTCTGCATTAAGTGGATCTAGGTCAGGTTCCTTGCTTTGTGAACTGAGGGAATTTTGCTGGCGGACATATCGAGAAGGTATTCCAGCATCTAGATTGGGAGTCGGAATTCAAGCTAAGCAAGGGCAAATTCAAGAAAGAACGGCGTCAATGGGCGCTCAATGATTTTTAGGGCATGTTTAACAAATTTTGATTTTAGAGTTGCATGCAACCAATTTATAGACCATCCATGCATCATGAGTGCATGATGTGCTGTTTTTCCACGCCAAGGAAAGTTACATTCTACAGGGGTTGTTGTCGTATGCACGTCGTTACTGGCGAAAATCACTATCCAGATCATCGAAAACGGATGTAGCCCTGCAGCTCAAAGCAGTTCTCAAACCCAATCCTCAACGGCACCGTGAATCCTGCCGTAAGAAGAAAGCGGTGAAAGGCGGGATGGATACGTGTGTTTTTTTCATGCATGCTGGGAGTTAGGGTCTGACTTTTTGGGGTACGCGCAGGCGCGGTGATCATGGTTATGGATTCAGAGACCGAACACGAGACACGCCCGCAGGAGTGGCATCATTGGACATGTGCCTTCTGTTGTGTCATGATGCACAGTTGATTCAGTATAATTACGTATATATGCGATTTTGTTTTTGACTTTTACCCCACACTTTCGGTCACCAGGAGCCCCTTCTGAACAAGGAGACCGTCCCTGAACAGAAGGATGTCCCTGAAGAGGAGGGTAAACCGAGCAATGCCATTGTTGATGGGAAGGAGTTCACCCTGGAAGATTCAATTGAGTTTGTCAGTCGCTTTGAAACCACAGAGCAAATGGCAAAGGCAGTGGGTGCAGATGTCGCTGAGGATGTATGGCATGATCTGAAGCTCGTGCACCATCTTTGCACCATCTATGATACCACAGACCCTCTCATCATCAATGATCAGGTGAACATCTACTATAGCTTGGAGCCTTCTTTTCATGCAGAGGATCTGGACGTCATGATCAGTTGTTGTGGTCTTGATGAGCTCCTCGCCAGGGCTCTTCTGGCACAAGCCAATGGAGACTTGACCGCGGCCCTCAATCTTGCAACCAAAAAGAATTTGGTTGCACGTGCGGAAGCTGGGGAATTTGGGGAGCCTACAGTCGCTGTGGCTGAGGTGAAGTCCATGCACGCCCAGGATTTGTTGCGTGCCAAAACCCTCATCCTGGGACAAGATGACAATGACACTCAGGATGAAATTCTCATACTCAGCGATGATGAGGTTCCTATGACTGCTGAGACAAACGAGACCAGATCCACCGCTCAAGCTGCTTTGCGTCATGAAGATGGTGGTGTTGAGACGAATGGGACCCTATCTATGGTTGAGACTTCAATCAATGAGGTGCATGGAACTGGTGGAGATGATCCTACGAGTTCTGTTGAGGAACCCGCTGAGGCGAGATCTTGTTATCCAAGCGTGCACAAGCTTCTAATGTGTCATGTTATCTATGTACGTATACAATATATCAACATAGGGGAGGTGTTGCTCAACTCTTGCATGCAGGTGCTACATCAAGGTGGACGACATCTTCGAGAATTCTCTGAAGACCCTTGGACATAATTACGTTTTATGCATGCTGCATGTGCATGAAAACTTGTGTACGTGCAACTATGCTCGATCAAGTAATATAAATGTTTAAAGCAGTTCTGAGTTCTGAGGAGTACTATGCACAACTTGCTTTGGAGGAATCTCTCAACCCCAAGGCAGATCCCTTGGCGAAGAACCCGCGGTGCATGAAAGTGATTACCGTGGGTCGCCTGCCTGAAGAGGAGAAGATGTCAATGTCCATACATCCCGAGAAATCTCAGGCTTTCGTCGCACAGACTTGGCAAGATTCTCAATGGCAAGATTCTCAATGGGATCCTCAATGGCAGGATTCTCAAGACCCTGACGGCACTACTGGGGATCAATCTCAGAAGCCTCATGCAGGTTCTGTGCCAACTCCTGTGGCTGGCGAGACTGAGTTTGAGAACCTTGGACAGGGCTTGTTGAACTCTGTCAGCGCTGTGGTTTCCCAGGCTACGCCACCAAACTATTCGGAGCAAGGGCAACCACGTGGGAGAAAGCCCAAGAGATCCAAGTTGGACAAGGCCAAACAGCTGGGGAAAGGCAAGAAGAGATCCAAGAAGACCAACAAGGTCAAGAAGAATGCCAAAAAGAATGCCAAGAAGCGCATGCCCAGTGATGCGCACCCAAGTCAGGTGGATGCAGTGGAGGCTGTTGGGCATGTCAAGTCCAAAAAGCGGCAACGAGCAGCATCCTGTGAAGCCTCAGCAGCTTCAGCACCAAAGGCAAAGGCCAAGCGCTCAGCTCCCGCCGAGGCGCCGGACAATGATGTCAAGGCTGGTGCTACCTCAAAGAAGTCAGGAAGGAAAACAAAGGCCAAGAGGAAGGCATCTCCTGCTGAACCCTCGGTTGAGGTTGCTTTGGCCAAGGAGGTGGAAGAGATTGAGATCCCGCCGGATTGCATTGATGCACCAACTCATGTAGCAGTCAACTCCGTCTATTCTTCAGCATATCGCAGAGCAAAGGCAGCTACTGGTTCCGACGAGAACGCCCGCAGTGTAGCTAGGTTGAATTGTGATCTAAAATTGGATGCATGTGAGATGTAGTTCATTGGACCTTTGTGTGCGGGGTTAGTGTGCATGTCATGAATCATGAAAGGTGTGGCTTGTTTCGTTCCAGTAGTGAATGATTCTGTGTGTTTGTCGTGCAATACTTAGGCCGGAAAATTGGCTACAAAGCTTCTGAGATTTCATGGAAAGGTTTCACCTTCATTGAGCGGTTTTCCCAGGCCTCCAAGGGCTTCGGCCATTGCACAGGGTGGAGCTTAGGATTCTACCCATCCAAGATATGGTTGGGAATTTGGGAATGTTTTTGTGCTTGCTTGTGCGACATTTATATTTCATATTTTGTTTCAATTCATGGATATGCAGCAGTGCTTGTTTAGCGCAAGCTTAGCATTCCATAGTATCTTCGGGGGCTCATGCACGCACAAATTGTGCAATTAAGCATGAAAGTCAGGTGTGCAGGTGTTTAGCCAGGCTATTCCTATGCACGCTTTTCACTGGTTCATCATGGAGTGTTGGAACAGAAGTTTCCGTGCAGCAAACAAAGGTTGCGATTGGTGGCTTGCAATTAATATGGAACTTGATGACTGTTGAATCAATGTTGCGGCAAGACTATCATGCAATGACCAAAAGAACGTGTTTTCTCCGCAGCCTCTTTTTGTGACGTGCCCTACCTTCGGCTGCAGTGAACGCAGAGTCTTGGATGCCCTATACCTCATGACCGACCGGTTGTGGATTCATGGAATATGCACATGACTTCGCATGCATTAAGTTTTTATGTGCATGCAACCTCAATCCAAGGACTCCATTATGTCCAAGCTGGTCACCCCAAAGTCTGCCAAGGAGTGCAGGTTTCTTGTTTGGATGTGCGTCGTGCATGGGTGCTATTTCCATAGTCTATGTTTGCCTACACGCGCATGATGCATGCAAATTAACATTCCATAAAGCAGCAACCCCAACATGTTGCCCACTGACAACATGTTTGTTTTCTTACAGCGTACACGACCGTGTTTCAGCTTAGGCTTCGCCGAAAGCGGACTTTTGATGATGAGGATGAGGATGCTGGACCTTGGTTTGTGCCATCCCGAACTCCTAAGGGGCCA